AGAAAATCGGCGAAGAAAAAGTTTTTCCATGCAATGCATGGCGTGGGATGGATCCTCGGACACAGTGACGCGAATATTTTCGGCATTGAATGAAATGGGGGCCTGATGGTGGGCTGCAATAAAAGTGGACATTTTACAATAACATCACATATATAGTATAAGCTATTCCTGTATACGAGTGTACGAGTGTACCACTACTGGAGTCCACACTGACACACCCAAAAGGTTTTTGCAAACGCTCGGAATTCTAAGGAAAAACGCTCCATATTAATTCATTTCAGATTAGCTAGATCATTAGCCAGTAACGCTTGCAAGTTACACACCTCTCTTCCTCAAGAACACTCATGCCGGCGCCTCTCTTGCAGCCTCCTCTTGATTCTTCCGAAACAATCAAAAAAGAAAGCTAAGAGAAATCTAATTCTTCGCTACTCTCAAGCTGTAGGAGGAAAATCTCTTCTCCGGAATCGTTTACTGCAAACAACTATCTAGAGAGAGAGAGAGAGAGAGAGAGAGAGAAAGAGATTGTAATCTTTGGCTCGAACACAATCAATCTCTTGTCCTTGATATCATGGAGGACGGTGTGACCACCCTGGTCTGGGTTTCCATTTCAACCATCAACGTGACAAGGGTCATATAGTAGCAACCTGTGCATATAGCCTCATCAACACACTACACCAGGCTAACATGATGACGTGAACATACGGTCTTTCACACTAGTCTATAGTTCTTCCCATGGCTCCCAGGCAATCAGCTGCAGCTGCAGGATGGTCGCAACTAGAAGAGACCCGGGCCTTCATGAAGGATTACCTACAGGACATCAACCCTGGCGCCACTGGGACATGCACTATATTGCCAATACTGAACTAGTGGAAGTCTAGCTAGCACAGTGCCACTTCGGAGCATTAGAAAACTACAACTCTGAATAAAGGCCAAGGGTCTTCACTCATATATTCCAGACTATGAGTTGAATAGCAGTAGCCAAGATTTTAGCCACGCCAGAATCCCATGTAGATTCAAGAATAGCGCCAGGGATAAAGGAAAAGGAGTATGGAACAAAGGAGTGAAGGTCTTCAAGCTTCCTGTCAATAGGCAAAGATTTCCATACCAAGACCAAGAACAATATCACTATGGGGCATGGAGTATAGAGGTTAAAGCTTGAAGATTGCATGGAGCATGGAGCAGGGGCATTGAAGCTCAAGAGCGGGAAGACATGGACAACAACATTGCGACCACAATGTTCTTCAAAACGGCATTTCTAGATTTCTTGGTCTCATCCTTCATGGTGGGCGCTGTAAACAGTATATGAATGAATGAAATTATTCTAGATCCATATCCATGGAAGACTCCATCTCTATCTGAAGGGAAAATGGACTCTTTTATTCTAGATCCATATCCTTGGAACATGACCGAGATGACTCTCCATCTGAAACTTTCGTGAGTTCCTTCTCAGGGCCTGATGTGGGAATCACAAACATAGTTGGGATGTCAACCTTGGCTTAACTTCTAGAGTTTGGACACCCCCCGATCGATCAAAGAACAGAGCATTGGAGCACGAGATTGCACGAACTATCGCGGACTATTGCGGAAGATCTCGCTCGACCGCCATAGCCAAGAGCTTGCTGCTCGTCGCGAAATGAGAGTGGTCAATGAACTGCAGCCGTGGGTAAGGTAATTTTACAAAGGAGATAAATACCACGGGTTAGAACAGAAATTAGGTTTTAGATCGAGCACAAGGGCTGCGGGGAGCGCCAATTGAAGTAAGTCCCAGCTCGATTTCTCCCTCTCGATCTCTAGATCTAGCTGCCGCTAGCTGCAGATCCGGGCAGCGCCTCTCTCTCTCTCTCGCCTGCTCGATTGGATCGGCGGCGCGGGCTAGGGTTTTTGCTTGTCGCGGTCGGATTTTGACGGAGATTTTTTCATACAGGATCGATCTCTCTCGGCGCCATGGGTAGCGGATTTCGCGTGTTGCATTTGGTGCGGCCTTTCCTCTCGGTCCTTCCCGAGGTTCAAACGGCCGATAGGAAGGTCCCGTTCAGGGAAAAGGTTATGTACACGGTGGTTTCCTTGTTCATCTTCCTGGTTTGTAGCCAGCTCCCACTCTACGGGATCCACTCGGCCAATGGATCCGATCCGTTTTACTGGATGCGCGTCATCCTGGCTTCCAACCGCGGGACTGTGATGGAATTGGGAATTACTCCCATCGTTACTTCTGGTCTTGTGATGCAGCTCTTGGCTGGCTCGAAGATTATCGAGGTTGACAACAACGTGAGAGAAGACCGAGCTCTTTTGTAAGTGTTTTTGACATTTGTGCCTGGTGGCTTCTACTGATGGTTTTGTGGGACTTTGTAGGAACGGAGCTCAAAAGCTTCTGGGTGTTTTGATCACGATTGGTGAAGCTGTTGCGTACGTTTTGTCTGGAATGTACGGCGATGTTCGTGATCTCGGAGCCGGCAACGCGATTCTGATCATCATTCAGCTCTTCTTCGCTGGTATCCTTGTCATTTGCCTGGATGAACTCCTCCAGAAGGGATACGGGCTTGGATCGGGAATCTCGTTGTTCATAGCCACCAACATCTGGTGAGAGAAACCTTTTTCTTTTCAAGCTCTGATTTTTTCTATTGTATCTGTGACAGTGAGAACATCATCTGGAAGGCGTTTAGTCCGACTACCATCAACAGTGGCCGTGGAGCTGAGTTCGAGGGAGCTATCATTGCTCTGTTCCACCTCTTGATCACGAGAACTGACAAGGTCCGAGCACTCAAGGAGGCTTTTTACAGGCAAAACCTGCCAAACGTGACAAACCTCTGTGCCACCGTGATCGTCTTCCTCATTGTCATCTACTTCCAAGGCTTCCGCGTTGTCCTTCCCGTGAGATCCAAGAGCGCTCGTGGACAGCAGGGTTTCTATCCCATCAAGCTCTTCTACACTTCGAATATGCCTATCATTCTCCAGTCGGCGCTCGTCTCGAACTTGTACTTCATCTCTCAGGTAAGACGTGACTTCGCTTTAGTTCTCGGTTGAAACTTCTTTTCTGGTTTACTTCCAGCTCCTGTATAGGAGGTACAGCACAAACCTTCTCGTGAATCTCTTGGGCCAATGGAAGGAGTCGGAGTACTCGCACAGTGGTCAGCTTGTGCCTGTTGGAGGGCTCGTCTACTTCATAACTCCGCCTTCGAGGTGAGCTACAAAATCGTTCTTTTTTTTCACTTGATTTGACAAGGATAAACTTGCAGCTTGGCGGATATGGTGACACACCCCTTCCACGCTCTGTTTTACCTCACTTTCATGCTCACGGCATGCGCTCTCTTTTCCAAGACGTGGATTGAGGTTTCTGGTTCCTCGGCTAGAGATGTGGCCAAGCAGCTTCGGGTAAGCAAGAACTTTTAGCTCGTAACTCGATCTTTCTGACTTCTCTCCCCGGGAATTGCAGGAGCAACAAATGGTCATGCCCGGACACCGAGAAGCCAACCTCCAGAGGGAACTCAATCGCTACATTCCAACCGCGGCGGCCTTTGGTGGTATTTGTATCGGAGCTCTGACGGTGGTGGCCGATTTCATGGGAGCGATTGGTTCTGGAACTGGAATCCTCTTGGCCGTGACGATCATCTACCAGTACTTTGAGACATTTGACAAGGAACGGGCAACCGAAATCGGGCTGTTCGGGTTTTAAGCTCGCAACTTCACCGGAAGAAAAGTTTTGGAAAAAGTTCCCTGTAACTCGTGAAAGAACCAACTGATGTGAAGTGCAAATATTTCCTCAAAAAAAGATTGCAAGGCCTCGAAGTTTACTATCTACATTGCTACTTCTTTACCAGGGATTATATCCGCTTGATTCTTCCTCGGTGGTAGCAGCGGTAGTGCTCGCCGGTGTTGGTTTAGAGCTTTTTAGGACTCCTTTAGCTTCCAGATCGGCGATTTGCTGTGTAACGAAGGAAGGAGTGTAGTAGCCATCGATCCAGAGCCCCTCACCGTTGCTCTTGTGCTTAAAGTCTGGTGCCTTTGGATTTCTCTGGCAAGAAAAAGAAGTTTCGATCGTGTGATCGTGTAAAAACTTGGGTGTACCTTGTTGTCACGATTGTCGTACCAATCGTTGGGACTGGAGAAGAACAGCTTCCACGATTTCTCAGCGGCTAGTTTTTTCTCTGCTAGCAACAGCGGGAGGAAGCATTCAGGCTGGAAAGGAGGAAGAGTTTCCAAGCAAAATTACCTGTTGGTCCTGGTTTGATGGCTGTAGCTGTTGGTAAAGGTTGGGCTTTAGAACCGTATAGATCGTCCACGAAGTGAAGGTCTGATACTTCCACCTGATAACAGAAGCAATACCAAAATGAAAAATAACTTCTAGAAGATCTTTCTACCTTCCAAAGAACTTGAGGCCCTTCGCCAGTATTCGGATCCATTTTCTCCACTAGAACACGACCACCAACGTGGATTCTATCTCCTTTTCTAACGTGTTGAGCAGCAATCTCTGCTAGATCGTTTTGAAACTCCAAGAAAAACCTGTGAGAAAAAAGAAAAAAAACGTATACAGAGAGAAGCTTTTCTCTTCTTTCTCCACTGGAAGAACTTCTAGAGATCGGCTTACCAGGATGGATCGCCCTGTGGAGCCTTCTTGACGCTCAAGCTCGAGGTAGCAACGATCGTTCCATTGTCGAGGTACTTGATGTCGGGATTCACTCCCACGCTGCCGATCAAATGGATGGTGTTGGCGAGGCTCTTGTCATAGCCCACCGACGAAGGCCGTGGGAACTGGGGCCTGGAATCGCCCTCTGCCGGCTGCGCCGCGGCCTTTGCCTGCCGCGCCGATCCAATGCTGCGTGTTACCACCGCTCGCAGCGGCTTCAATCCAAATGCCTCCGCGGACTGTGCCGACGCGAGCCTGGCCGTGAGCGCGAAGAAATGCCGCTGCCGGGGCGCCGCCAGTGGGGGAGAGAACGCGGCAGCGCAGCGGATTCGCAGGAGACACGCCATAGCCGATTAAACCCTAAACCCCCGCGATATTTTAGGGTTCTAAGGAAAAATGCCTGTAGGTAAGGGCGCGAGGCTTTGATCGTCCCTGTTGTGACACGATTTCTCGCAGATCTTCCTGGATTTTACTTCGACATCGAGCGGAATCGGTACTTCCCGATCTCGCGGAAGCCGGAGGAAGCGCCAGCGCCGGCGGCAACTCCAGAGGCATCTATTTGGTATGCTTTGCTCGGATTTAATGGGAATTTTACCAGGCTGGGAAGAAGAAAGTCATTCCGATTCCAAAGCTACTGCTCGACAGGGAAATCTTCCCAAGGAATCCAGTGTTCTTCCGACGATCTACAGTGGAAACATTCTCAGTTCGTCCTCAGGTATTTGGATTCTTTTTTTTTTTTCTTTGTTTTCATTGTCTCTCGTGTTTGTGTCTACAGACATGGAGATATGGTGTCATTACGCCCCAGTGCGCTGTGGGCTGGGGATATTGCGGCTATTTCGAAAACAATGCAGTGTTCATGGGTAGTTCTCAAGGAGCAGCCTTGTAAGTTTTCTTCCAAGGGTCTGTTCTTTCCTCTCCAATCTCACACTTTTTTTTTCTGTGCAGTGTTGTATCCGAAACACATTGTCGTCGTCCAAACGATCGTTTCTCAATGATAATCCATCCATTGCCAAAGAACGAGTCTCTGCTAGAGCCTGGAAGGAGACCGCCATCTCTCGCTGTAAATCGCTCCCTATGCGCCGGTGGTTCTTCCATGGTTACTGCGATCAAGACGCTGTCAACCAAGCAAAATCCACACAAAATCGCAATGTATGGTGTCTTGTACCTTCTTCTTTCGTTTCTCTTTCAGCTACTTATCTGACTGAGTTTCATCCCAGAGTTGCAAGGCTGGGAAATGCTACTGGCGGCAGCTTGCAAGTACTCGATCTCGATACTCTGGCAGTCACAGCCGATGTGAGGATAAACTATACAGTGTGGACCGCGGACATGTTCCCGTGCGGAACTAAAGCATCAATTGGTAAAGCTCTTTCTCTGTCATTGCGCAAGCTATTATTGATCTTCACAGGAACGCACACCAGAGCTGGGGTGGTGAACCTGCAAACTGGGCAGCGAAGCTGGATATATCACTGTCCCCACGACGTTTTGTCACAGAAAACCGATAGCACCGTAAGCTTGCTCTCCGTTGCCTTCCTTTTCTTTTCCTAGTTCGATTGACTTGCAGGGAAATATTGTCGTGTGTGGATTCCGGAATGGCTGCATCTTGTCACTTGATATCCGCGAACGGCGGTTTTGGGTAAGTCAAATGCTTGTGCTTCGATTCTATCAAGCTCACTCCCCCCTTATTACAGAAGATGGATTCAAGGAACAGCATACGCATGAAATCATCCGTTTGTAGGTAGAGGTTCTGCTTTGACATGGAGCATTCTTTTAATCACGGATTTCTTTAGCTTGCTGCTGCTTCCATCGGATGAATCTTACGTGGTAGCCAGTGACATGAGCGACAGTGTAAGTCTCACTGCTTTCGGTTTTCAACAGCTTTTATTATTTGGTCAGATTCGGCTGTGGGATCGGCGTCTTGTGGGAAGAGGATGGTTGCGTTCCTTCGAAGGACATAAGAACTCGTTTTCATCCCTGCAGCTTGGCATAGATCCGACTGGAACGGTTCTTATGTCAGGTTTGAGATAAAATGGAAAACGGGCATGAGATGGATGGTTTCCGATCGTTTCAGGATGTGAAGACAATGCTGTCAGGATCTGGAGCTTACGAACTGGCAGCCTGTTACACACAGAAACTGGTATCAGCTGCACACCGGCGAAACTCGTCTTTCGAGGTACTTGTAGGAAGTTTGATCAAAAGCGGAGCTCAACCTTTTGAAACTCACTAGAATCCGATGACGACGAACTGTGGAGTACATGGCTTGCTTCCCGCGATGAGCTAGTCTACATGCACGCATCATCGCTATAGAGACTTAAAACGGTGGAGCTTCTCTTTCTCTTTCCTGGAGAACAACTTACAACTTACAAGCGTGTTCTTCCGGCAAGCCTCGCTGCTGCCAGGAGATTGAGGAAATTCATGCCGACCACCACTGCTCTCGCATTGAACCGAGCCTGGAATCCCAACTCCAAGTAAGATAAACATAAAAAGGAATGACAATCACTTACTTCTTCTAACATGTCTTCTTCCTCCTCGTCGAGCATTCCCTCTTCTGTCAGACCATAGCCATCGCCAAAGCATTTGGGTGTTTCCTGGGCTCCAAAAACGCGAAACTTGAGTAACAGAGACCGAGAGAGAATTTTTGGATTGGAGAAGTTACCGCCGGAGGTTGATCATCGGTTTCGTAGTAGAAGCTGTTTGAGCGGCCAGTGAGAACGGACTTTGCGAGGGACAGGGCCTTGTCGGCGGCTACTCGAGCTTTGCGCATCCACACGGCATGGCGGATTTTCCTCTTGGTTTTGGAGGTTCGCTTCTTGGGCACTGCCATGACGATGGTTGCCATACCTCTCTTGCTTGGTGGAGTCGATATTGGGCGAAATCGCAATGTGGTTGCTCCTCCCAGTCCCTGGCATGGTGCCATCGCCATGACCAGCGCCATTGCTACTCTATCTCTCCAAAAAATAAAACCCTGCACAGTTATATCAAGGTAGAGTTTACCTTAGTTGACTTTTGTTGACCGGCGTGGTGATAGTCATAGTTGATGAGGCTGAGGTTCTGGATGCCAATGCTTCTAAGGGCGACAGATCAGCTGTCGAGCTTGCTTCAGAAAGTTCACGTCTCGGAACTTTCTTGCAAGCGAAATGGTGATTCAATCTCAGCAGGGATTTTTGGATGTAAGAACAATGTTTTTTTCCTCTGGATTCCTTAGCCAACTGATCAGTCTTGCAGGACGAGTAATTACACTTAGATGAACAAACTGTCCACTCTAGGCCACCTCCCTCAGTGGCAGCAGGAGAGAGACTATTTTGCTGGGCTGCCTTGATCGAGCAAGTACCTGCAATAGTGCATACACTGTCAACCCTTCAATGTACGTCCTCGTGATGTATGGAGTTATGTCTCCGCATCGTTAATTTTGGGATCCCCAACTACAAACCTCTCGTCCTGTTCCATCATGCTCACTTCTGAATGGCAGGCGGATGACAAGCTTGACAGTCTTTCCGCAAGTGAAACTCCGATGCTGGACATTTCTGCTGTAGAAACAAATAACTTCACCACACTTCATCCTTATCTCATAGCAGGTTGGCAATTTCCTCATCACTAAGCACGGCATTGAACAATATCGCTTGTCGGTCTGCAGGATGAGTCGAAAACCGCTAGCGAAAGAGGGTGGTCACTGATGATTCCGGAAATTTGCATCTTCTTGCGATCCAAGCTCACAACCGTTTAATGTTCGACCTACTGAAGCTATGTCTTCTTCTGCTTCTTTCAAATAACTGAGCCAACGGTTTTGATTTAACCAAAGTCAAGAGCGGATATGCCTAGAACATTGTTCGAGTATTATATCACTCCTCAGTTGGAGTAGCAGCCTCCTCCATGGCACGGAAGAACCTCTTCCACGACACGTAAATCCCCTCGGCGATCATGGCAGTGAGATCGTCCGGGCTTCCCAGCTTGTCCGAGTAGAACACCGGAAGATTGTAAAGCGTGTCCACCTTGTCGCCCAAATGATCCGCGCGCTCGAAGCAGTGAATGTAATTCTCTCGATCCACAAACGGTGGATCCACGCCGTCATCCTCCGCATCTCGATCTTCCAGCAAAACATTTGGATGTGGAGGCCCAATGCTCCTCACCGCCGCCGCCAAAAGAATCCGCCCAATCCTCCCATTCCCATCCCTGAAGGGATGGATTGCCTCAAACTGGTAGAAGAGCTGGCCGCCAAGCTCCAGCAGGGCATGGCAGCGCTCGCCCACGTCACCAATGTCCCGGAATATCCCCGCCAGCGAGAGGTTACAGTCACGCACGAGCTCCGCCAGCTCGGCCGCCACGCTGGCGGGCCGCCGGAACATCCGCCAGTATCCCACGCTCGTCCGCGTGAACGCATCCTCGCGTCGAATCCTCCCTGCGATCTCGGGCTTGGACGTCGCCAGCAGCATCTCGTGCGCGCGAGCGATCCCCTCCACGCTGAATCGCGGGATCTTCTGATGGATGACGCTGGCCAGCGCGAGATTGAGGCATCGCATCACCTCTGCGCGGCGATCGTCGTGGGGGGCGGCGGCCAGATGCTCGCCGCGGCGCACGGCGTCCAGCGTGAGATCGAAGCTTTCGTAGCCTTCTTGTTCGATCCTGTTGGCCTGGAAGAGGAACTGGGCCAAGCCCTGGATGGATCCGTACGACGCCCCGCCCCAGCGCCTGTGGAGCTCCGGCATCGCCTCGTACCTCTTGCAAAATCCGGCGATGGCGGCCACCATGTCGCTGGTGCTCATGCGCGTCTTCCGCCAAAACGGGCGCTCCGTGTAGATGAGATCCCTAGACACGTCCCTGGATTCGTTCCCCACTGGAGCTCGGCGCGTCTGGATCGCGCCTCCAGCGCCCCATATCAGCCCGCCAGCATCCATAGCCTTGACCTAATTCTATGAAAATTTTGATTTATGACCTAACTTGACCTTATTTATAAACACATGTGGAGGTCGTTTAACTAAGTTAAAAAATATTATTTTCTTTTACCTTTCTTTACTTTCTGGGGAAAGGTTGTTATGAATATTTAAAATATTCCATTAAAATATTTTTTAGTTTTTCTAAGTTTAAAAGATTTAACCTGATGTGTTTGGAACGTTTGTGTGTTTGCTCTATAACTTTGATAAATTTTTTCTCTAGTTTCGAGAAAATGTACTTGCTTGAAGTGTTTCCATGAGGAAATAAATCTTTTCTTTGTTATTGCACTGAATTTTCACCGTTCAGGTAGGAAGTCAAGCTTTTGCAGTGACCGTGTTTTAACATAGTTTCTCTCCCATGTTTCTCAGGGCAGTCCCTAAAAAGAGAAGACAAACTACTTGCTTTTTCTCATACACAGTTTCCAGGTTATACTCTCTGCAACGGTTTAACTGGTTTTTTGTATTGTAGAGCTTGGAAGATCCCTTGGTGGCGGACTCGGTTCTGCGACTGGTCTCAATGGAGCTTTGGCACAGCTTGTCTCCTGGTCGTATAAACGTACGTGTTTAATCAGGTGTCTGCGTGACATTTTCTGATTTGATTCTTCACATGAGATAGCGTGCCTCTTCAAGACGTTAACGTCGAGACCTTTCTGATCGTCAAGCTCAAAATCCGCATAGAACTGAAGTAAGTCCACGGGTTTCCGGAAGAGCACTCCTTGAACAACCGCCAGATCTTTTCCGAATCTTCAGAATACAGGGGTGAGTGACAGCACCGATGACTACGAAAAACCAAAGCCTGGCATCTGGCTAAGAAGATCAATTAAAAACTCTACAGAGCACTCACAAAACAGAAGAGCCGATGCGTCAGTTTCACTTCCCACAACAGCACCATCTAGAACCTTGAAAGCACTAGTTTAGTACGTAAAATTGTACCATCGATCCACTTTACCTTTCATCAAAGATGGCAGAAACCGTACTTCCAGCTTTCTTCTGCAGCCTCCGCCATGGCTTAAGAAGCTTTTCGTCGTGAAAGAGCTCCATGCAATTTTATTCACTCGTTTCAACTCTTAGCATTTAACCAGGAGCCCAAGGGTTGTACGAGGAATACTAGTCAATTTGAGACTGACTTTATGTGCAGCTTAAAGAGATGGCACTGTGGAATGCCGGGGCGTTAAACAATCGCAAAGAATTGACAAAGTGTTTATCGAAGCTGAGCGTTCAAGAATTAAAAGATTTGGTCTGCAACAAGGTATATATAAAGCGCTGTACGTGGATTTCATTTCTGACATTTTCGTGCACAGTTGATGCTGGGAACAGATACTTGGGCAGACAGGGTGATTTTTTAAAAGAAGTTCTAGTCTCAGCCTTTGAGAAAGGGATTTCATCAATGGTCTTCCACTGTATCCTACTGAGACCGTGATGTGGGATGAAAGTTTGGTGCCAAGCGTCAACTACACCGGCTAGGCAAGCCACTTCTGAGCAGGAAACTTGAATTGCATAGTTTTCCCAAGATATTGTAACATCCATGGTTGATATTTGTTTGCAATATCAAGACTGCGGTGGAATGGTAGGCAGATCAAAGCAGGATGTGTGGGCCGTGAGCCTCACACATCCTGATTGGTCTCGATTGGTCTCTATGAGAGATCCTCTATAGAGTTTCGGCCACAATGTTTCATCGACTTACCAGAAATTGATGTCTTTCGGTTTGGAACAGGAAGGAGAGTTTGTCCCGGTGCAAAGCTTGGACTTGATGCTGTCCATTGCGCGATATTGGTGATCCAGCAAAACTGAACATGGATCAAACATATTTTGGACTGGTATGTCAAAAGAGTCAACGGCTATCCCGATACCCAGGCTAGATTCTCATGTTTACTAGAAACTTCAGGCTTGTTTCTTCCATAAAGTTTGTTTATTCCTAGAGTTTCTCCAAATATCACTTATATTTTACATGGTTTATAAATTATGATTTTTCCACATATCAATACATTGTTATAAGCAAGAGTCATCCTCCAAAAATAGTCATAGTAGCATGAGATGGAGCATATAGTTCATAATGGAGATGTACCTAAACCCTGAAAACTTTTAGGCCGTCGATTAGGCCCGATCCTGACCGTCCGTGTAGTACTGTTTTGGGGTTTAGAGTTCTTGGGTAGGGTTTGGACTCCGTATGGAAGGGTATGTGAATGTAGCTGTGCCAGGAGGGAGTTCCAAGGCTTTCAGGGTTGATAGCTGTAAAGAAAGTGTCCTATCGCGTCTTGAGAAGCTGTATGGTGTTGGAGATCTACTCGATGCTGAGGGTTTTCCCCTCATAGAGGAAAGGTTGCACGCCGGCAGCTATGTCTACGCCATTCAAGGTATGTGCTAAATATTGTGTTTTCTTTGTCCTGATAAACTTGCGGTTTCGTTTTAACCAGGGCCAGAGCATGTCGTTGCAGAGCTCTGCCGCATCTATGCTGACCGTTTACGGGAAGCCCGAGATGTCACTCTGGAGAGGAACGCCCTGAGAGAAGATGACAGGCTTCCCATGGACGGCCTAGGTGATCTGCAGATACCGAGAGCTGATCCGGGGCTCTGCTTTCCAATTGTCGGCAGGCATGAGACACTCTGTTCGCTGGTGTATGGAGCTGTTTTGGCGTTCCGAAACTTCACACGGGCCAATAAGTGCAGTGCCTCCGTGGATGCGGGTCTCAGGGATCCTCACTTCAACGCATTGATTGCGTATCCTGGGGCAGGCAAGTCTACCATTGGCAGGGACTTTCCTGCTGTTTTCAGGAAGTTTTGGACGTCGGGAGATGCCATTGAGTTTCTCAAGTCGCGGAAGCTGCTGGTGAATCGTGATTTCATTCAGATGGTGCAGGACTCTTTGGGTTATAACTTGTGTTTGTATCACAATATCCACGACCATCAAGGGGGTCTACTCTATCCCGTTGAGAGGAAGCTAGCTTCCTCGAAATCTTTTGAGCAGATTCTGGCATTAAGGTATGGAAATGTAGTTTCTTGTTTTCTGATTGTTTTTCTGATGCATGGAGGTTCAGGCTTCTCTTTG